CGGGTAAATTTTATACAGACCTACAGGCCTGTAGAGCACAGTCACACACGTATGTTTTACACAGGGCTACAGGCCTGTAGAGCACAGTCACACACGTATGTTTTACACAGGGCTACAGGCCTGTAGAGCACAGTTGCACGGGTATGTTTTACTCAGGGCTACAGGCCAGTAGGGCACAGTCACACAGGTAAATTTTACACAGAGCTACAGGCCTGTAGAGCACAGTCATACAGGTATGTTTTACACAGGGCTACAGGCCAGTAAGGCACACTCACACAGGTAGGTTTTACATAGGGTTACAGACCTGTAGAGCACAGTCACACACATACATTTTACACAGGGCTGCAGGCCAGTAGAGCACAGTCACATAGGATGTAGAGCAGAATGCTACATTCCTGTATAGCAGGTGCTAGATGTATTCACTATGCTGCCAAACGGAACTGCATCCAGCAGAGTCATGTGACACCTGACCTTTTGCCCGAAGATGCCTTCTGCCCTAACTTGACATTCTGTTCCCCATGACAATCCCTAAACTGCTCCCTCTGCATCGGTCTGTCCCCTGGAACGGAGCGCAGCGAGCTCAAGCGCTAATACTGCTGTGGAAGAAGATGGGAAAGGCAAATATGTTCTATTTTCCATCGATGACACTCGAGTTACCAAACAATTACATATATTAATGGACAGAAGAGGATAAAAATGTTAGTAATAGGACACTGCAAAACAGATGTTGTGACGACGGGTCCATGTAGTTGCCGGGGGAAACGGTGCAGTGAGACTAGGAGAAAGGCATCAGGCAGTTTGGCCGTTTGAAAGCTATGACAGTACCAGTGACAGTGGCGGCAGTGGGCCAACCGGAAGAGCGTGCCCTCCGCTCGCCGCAGAGGATTCTGGGTGATTGAAGCTGTGTTTTATGGGAGTGTGAAATTGCTGTTACACGTCCTGAGAGGCATGGGGGGGGGGGGGGCATTTGTCGGCATTTGACCCTAGAGCACCAGTAAGGCTATGGCTCGGTCAACATTGTACAGGAAGGTGTCCTACATCTTCAACAAGCAAACCTCAACAAAAAAACAGATTTATTAAAAAAAAAATAAAACAAAAACACTGAAGAAGAGCTGACACAAATACCAGGCACTTGTTTAGGTATTATGTGCTTCAGAATATATACGTATTTACACTAATAAGTGCTATAAATCAGTCTTGTAGAATAACCATTTTAAAAAGTATGCTATAATCGAAATAAAGCCGTAACAAAGTAAAAAATATATATATAAAATCAAACACGACAGACAAGTATTCCAAATAAAGAGCTCATTTGGGGTATTTCCATATATACAGGGGTGTGTATGCAGTGTTTGGAAATTTACTGTCTTGTAGATCCTCACAATGAATATGTCGTGTCGTACATCCACACCACTCCACAGCCACCGGGAACATTCCAGGGAATTAACGGCATTGACACGCTGCGCGGACGCGAGGAGTCCCAGATCGTGGCGAGAGAGCAGCTGTGACCAGCATCTGAGGACATGCTGATGGATTCCGGCATGCTGGTACACAGGCAGCACGAGGAAAAAGGCTTTTGCAAAAATGCACCGTTACATCCCGCTTTCAGTATCCATTTCCTACCATCAGGGGGCGCTGATGACAGCATGCTATGGCCTCCTGGTATATAGCACACCACCAAGCTTCTCCTAATGGGCCTGAGTCAGTCAGACTACTGCGGCAGAGTGCTTCTGCCCTCGGTGTCAGTTTCCTAAGCGTAACGACTGACACCATGCCAAATCTGGAGTCTCCTTGACCCTCTCAGCTTCCCGGTTCTCCGTACAGGCACGACAAAGCGCTAGAGCACACACACACGCATGCACACACAACAAACCCTGAGAAATAAGTCCTGGATCCCAACCTGATTTTTGAGCATAATGGCAAAGTCTCAGTGTGATAACTGTGAAAATGTGTAGTACATTTGACTTACATTTGACTAATCCTAACCGTAACCCTAACCCATTTTCTTTATAAAGTCGGTCCTGTATACAGAAAATACTCTTATTCTAAACCTCTAAACTCTGTAATGGTGCTGAGAAATGCTGCTTGCTGTAATATGCAAGACAAATATGCTCTGTGTGCAGTATTCCTGGGACAAAGCCAGCCCCACCTGTCTGTTAAGATTATATTAAGATTTATCTGTTTCGGTAGTCATGCAACATCTGGTAAATCCCTAAAATGGTTTAAGTGTAACAGTGCAAGAGTGAAACGGTATATTTTCAGTACGTCTAACGGGAATCTTTGTGGAATACTTCTGGTTTCGAGTCTTTTACGATTGCACACGTGTCCGCATTTGTCGGGACGTGCTCTGGGTCACTCTCTGCAGGCTCAGCTGCCCTCAGCTCTGCTGACACAAACCATTCTCTGCATCCAGCCATCCTTGAAGAACTGGGTACCACAGCATGGTTTACTTCAATGTTTTGCATATTCAACCCATAAAACCCTGGAAAACTGCAGAATACTGAAAAGCATTGGTCTATAAATGGGAGAGATTTGCGTTGATGGCCTTCAAGATACAAATACCTTCAAGAATCCCCCAAGATCCCATGATCCAATCCATTCCAAGATCCTACCTCTCAGAGACAGTTGAGACCATCAAATGTGGCACAACTGTGATTGACAGCAGTTGGAATGCTACATGTGTAGATTATAGTGTCAGCCCTGCCTTTGTGGTTCGACAAGAGCTAACCTAATACCCCTCTTAGAATACATCAGTTTACAAAATGTGGCTAATGAGGAGCTTTTTGGTTTATGTCACGAGAAAAAAAAAAGATACAAACATCAGATGTAGCAACTAGACACACAAGTTGTACAATAAAATTAATTTGTCCATTAAGAAGATCCGTTAAGGAAGGGGAGCATTTTCTAGTGGTTGGGGCTTATAAGGGAAATGGGGTGAGAAAACAGGCCACCTCAAAGCGCAGAAGAAGTAAACAAAAGGTCATGTGGCCCAGTTTGACCCACGCTGATGGAAGCCTGGCTGTTGATTATGGAAGGGGTTGGAAGTGAGGGACGTTTGGGATTGTAGGTACAGTCAGTGCCATCGGAGATGGGTTCTTTGGAGGACAAGCTACTTGCTAGAGTAGGGATGGTGGAGAATGTTGGGAAAGAACCCCAATTATGGCTGATGCTATGGCAGCGAGGGGGGTTGAGGCCCATGTTGTGTCCGGGGAAGACTGCAAATGGCGCCAATGGACACAATCTCTGAGCGGGCGAACAGTTGTTCACGATGAACCGTTGACCTGTCTTTGAAACAATTTGCAGGAATTGAAGAGAAATGACATGTTAAGCTACATCCTCCATCAATGAAACGTCTTCTGGAAGCCAAAGCAGATAACGTCTCACACGGCTGAGGTAGCAGAAGGGTCTGCATCGGGGTGGAGACTGAGCCCCTGGGCGATGTCCCCGCGGTCCATCTTACGCAAGGCGGCACACAGGGCCTCCAAACTGGCGCTGTCCATCCCGGCCCAGTGGGAGAGCAGGGCCCGCACTGGCCTCTCCTCCTGGCCGAAGGCGGTGATGTGCTCCTCCTGGTAGCCGAGGAGGCTCGCCAGACTGCGCCAGTCCGTCTCGTCGTCCGTCCCGTCACCCCCGCCACCCCCCAGGAGCTGCTCAAGCTCCTCGCTCTTGTGGGGGGGCAAGGCAAAGCCGGGGCTCCCGTCGACCATCACCACTGAAGACAGAGGGTGTTAGTGGTGAGTTATATAGGTAACATACGTCCTATTGTTAAGTCATCAGGTATTAGTCAGTGGGGTGCTTAACAACAACAAAAAGTGTAGAATTCGGTGGAGGGGTTTAAAACCTTATATTCAGATAAAAGTAGGTCAAAGTATCTACTTCATCTCTAGAGATGCTTTTTTTTTTATCAGATTTTAGCACAGATATTTTTTTTTTCTATCTGAGCAACTTAGGCTAGTTTCTGAAATCAATTTGGGGACTCCAGAGGCTCCATCTACAACCAGTAAACAATCAGTCTCCTGGCCCATAGAAACGGCACCAAAAGGAACCAAAAGAAGTCAGAGGAGAATGGGAGGGAGGGGTAGGGGACTGGGTCCATAGGCCCCGTGAGCCCGAATTGCCCGACTGAAGTCATTACTTAAGCAAGAAGACAAACGAGCCGTTTCCCACCGAGCCAATCTGTTGTCAATTGAGAAACACCATGGGAACGGTGCTGGAATGCAGCAGCTCTAGCGGAGGAGCGATTCCCAGCCCTGCCTTTGCTCATTTATAAGCATGTTTTTTGTGTTTCTTCTTTCATTCTACAAGCCAGCCGGTGCAAGAATGCAGTGGTTTGCGAAAGGCGATTCGGTGTCGCCGTCCACTCTCTCGTTTGCATGCCGTTAATCACGCCGGTCAGACTCTTCGTGAAAGTCACTCATGATGTTTCACGCCATCACGCTACATTCTGTTCGCCATCTCCAGACCGCCCCGGTGGCTAGAAAAGGTGGCTTTTGCGTTACTCTTCGTTCCTGAGCCTGATGTCCATCCTGCACGTCCGTCCAGGCTTATTTATTTAATAAGTGGCTAGTTTTACACAGTGGAGTTAATGCAGGATACGGAAAGTGAAAATCCAAAGCCACGGCCAAGCAACGATTATGATTGGTCGACATGACGAATGAGTTCTGTGGTGCATTGTGGGATAACAGTTTATTTACGGAAGTTTACATTTACAAAATTGAATAAAAACACGACTATGAGTGTCTGCGTGGAAAGTAATGACTCACTGTTATTAACTGCTATTGCACAAACAATACTTTTTATAAAGTATTTTTAGTATCCTAATAGCGTTTGGTGTACTATATTCCTTCTAATGAGAATCTGCAGACTATCATTGGAAACATGATTGCTTGACCTCTGCTTCTCGTCTCAGTCATTGCAGAGACGCATCATCAATAGTAAGGTCTCATATAGCTAGTTTGCATTATGGCTGAACCGCACAGAATCATCAGCTCATTATGGAATCACTTCATTATTCAGAACTCCTGGGACCGGCTCCAGGCTCTCGGCGCCCCAGGACTGGATAAGTGGCTACGGAATACGGGTGGTTAGATGAACGTACTACATAAATTTCAGGTTAATAGCAGGCTATGTTAAATGGGGCTGGATTTTAAGGTCTGGAATAAAATCACTGTCACGGCAGGTTAGTCTTTTATGATTGTTTGAGCCTAAGTCCCGGTGCACCAAATTTGGAGCAGGCACTCGGCCATAAGGCCCTCCTCCAAACCGGTTCTTCAAGGCCTGCCTTAAGCTGTTCTTAGTGGGGTGTGAGTGGATGTCTCTCCCTTTTGCTTGGGGCTCTTCGAAAATATTTTTGTGCTGTTTTTTTTCCAGGATTTGAAAGAAAAAAAAAATAAAAAAACAAGATAACGATGGAATTGATAAGGGCAGAGTGGCTTGTTTTAGTTGATCCCGCTGAGAACGCCCCTGTCCCCCCGGGGCACCGACCTCTGTCGCCAGACACGCAGAGGAATTTGCTTTCACACTAACCTGAGGCCTCAAGATCCCACACTTTGCTGGTGGAGAAAGTCAACATGTTAGTGCTGTGACTAAACAGGTGACTTCCACAGTCCTGGTCACCTTGCAGGGTACGTATAGCAAACAGATTCTCTGTCCCACTGAGAAAGCAACAAAGCAGCAGGTTTTGTAAACTATTCAGAAGTGTTTCGAACTGGGGGGCCATTGCTGGCCATCCCTTGCCCACACATGAACCCAGGAGGCAAATTTCAGCAAATGCAAATTTGCAAGAACTTGCCTCGCCTTGTCGTGTTCACATGAGTGTCCCATAAGGGCGGCATGCCCCACCAAAACAAGACACGACTCAGTCGCTATTTAAGGCTTGGGGGGGATCGGGTTTGCCGTGACTGAGCTATTTATTATTTGGGTCTGCCAAGCCTGTGTATGATAAACCTTCTAGATGCAACAGCCCAAAGATGACTTAAATGGCGTGGAAGAGACAAGCCTTTTAGTTTTGAGCGCCCAGCCTTGCTCTGCTGGAAAGATTACAGATAGAGCACATGATCTGGCAAGCTTGGAGACCAAGCCCTGCATTTGTTTATTTTCCCACCGTCACAGAACAGCATCACAGAAACACCTACTGCAAGGGCAATACGTTTAGCGTGTGCCGCTAACGATTTGAGCCATTAAGGGGTGATTTATCACACCTGTTTATGCCCTGCAGACGTGTTTAAGATGACAGGGAGTGCACTCGAACATTAGCAGGATGCTCTTTGCATGTCCAGCAGTGCTTAATGCGTCGTCCAGAAGCAGATGGCACCAATGCCATAAGCATCCATCCGAACGCACCCGCTGAACCCTGTTTACTTGGTTTACATGAGCATGTCGTGTTTGTGCTTGATCACCGAAGCACCTGCTAACAAGGCCCTGAGGGCAGCCAGTGGATTTCAGCGAGGCGGGCCAATGAGATCGCACCGCTTGTCGGGGTAGAACACTAAGAGGGAGCCGAACAATGGCAGAGAGTTGGGTGAATGAGCTGGTTCTCGTCACACGCGGCGAATTCTGAACTGCTGCCAGCCGGACTCTAAATCGTTAGGATTAAAAAGAAAGGGGGGGGGGGGGGGGAATGAGAATTCCCAGCCCTGCCCCTAACTGATGGGCGGAAAAGCCAGCAGGAGAGAGAGGGAGGGACTGGGTCACGGATGAACTGAAGGCACACGGGAGGAGGAGGCGGGAGCAAGGGTAGGTGGTTTCTCAACATCGTACACAAAAGAGGAACGGGCGTCGAGAGTCCTCATGTCACGATTCCCAGAGAAACCCTTATTTATGGCACCTATAGAATGCTAATGCATTTTGGCACCTACAGAATGCTAATGCATTTTGGCACTTATAGAACGCTCATGCTAATGCATTTACGTCACTTATAGAACGCTAATGCTAATGCATTTACGGCAAGTATAGAATGCTAATGTTAATGCATTTATGGCACTTGCTGAAGGCACCCATCTCCTGCAAAATGGCTGGGAAAAGACTTCCCGGCATTCCCGATTCCCCCAAAACAGACCTTAGCTATTTCTGTTAAAAGCTGCTATGGAGGTTCCCTCACACAGCACACAACGCCCCCCCGCCCCCCTTCATAATCCGGAGTTCTGCCTGTCGTTGTCAGTTATGTGAGCGGGGTAGTTGCTATGGCCGTACAGATCGTATTCAGGACCTCTGAGGTAACAGAGCCTGTAAAAGGTGACGGTGGTGCGGGGGGGCAGGCTATGCTGGCCCACCTGTGTGCGGCAGCCCCTGGGTGGGGGTCTGCGCCTGCTGCTGCTGCTCCTGCAGGCTCTGGCTGTCCACGGAGATGCCACTGTCACTGTGGAGCTTCTCGCCCTCGGCGGACGCCGTCTGGCTCACGCTGCGGTTGCTGGCCGCCTGTTTGTTCTGCTTGCAGCTGTTCCACCTGTGCCTCCCGTTGTTGTCAGGGAGAAGGAAGACGGCCATCACCGCACAAGTCAGATTCGGGTTCAGCTAGTCCATTAGGACAGTGGTTCCGAGACATCTTGGACCAAGTACCACATAGATCACAGTAACCTAGATCACAGTTACAAATTGCCACAGTCTTCTCACACATCACTTAGAGGCACTCAGAGTACCACTGTCATTCTACTGTCCTGAATCCTAACCCTCACAAACCATGATTTAATGTGCAGCACATTAGCAGGATAAGGCGAAGTGTAAAAACTCGGCTTGATCGGTGTTGGGATTCAAAACCAAAAACTAAAATGGCATCTGGAAGGAAACCTTGTCAACTCATGAGAGGTTTGTGCTTTTTGTCTATGGGAGGGAAACCCACCATCTATCACCCAACCACTGATGCTCCATGTGAGTACCTCATAGTTCCTGCCTCCATCTCTCTCTTTCCATTGGTCATGCTAATTGTAAATCCTTCTGTCCTTCTACCATGGCTCCCTTTACCCTCGTAAATGACCCTCCCCCTTAGACAGACCCTCTGCTCACATACCTCTGCGAACCTTGAACCTTTGCTCCCCTAAGCCCTACTCCCTGGCACAAGCCAAGCTTTCCCGCTCATAGCCTCACCTCTTGAAGACGATGAAGGCCACCAAGCCCACGACCACAGCGGCCAGGATGGAGCAGTAGATGGGGATGAGGTTCTCGCTCAGGCCATGGTGGACGACCCGCGGGGAACTGGGGTTCCCCACTGTGGTAGTGTCGGTGGGGGAGAGGATGTCGGTGTCTTCAGGGGCATCGGTGAAGGAGGGCAAAATCGAGTCCACCGAAGGCAGAGGTGAAAATGTCTCGATGCTGGGTTCTGTAGAAATAGATGTAATGGAAGAGGAACCATTGGTGTGATTCACAAGCTTGCCAGGGTCTTTCTATTTTCTCTGGCTGTGCCTTTCTTAACCGGGAATTAATGATAATTAATGACCTCCTAAGCTGCAGAACTTCCCTCTATGCTCAGCATGAAGGGCTGAAGACAACATAATGATATGGCTTTCAACAGCTCTCAGCTGTAAAATGTCATGGGCTTGGGCCCCAGTTCCCAAAATACCTCCTACTGTACTTTAGTTCTGTAATTATTAGGCCTGTTGACTATCTCTCACTATCTTCCTGGGCTTGTTTCATGGAGATGCTATAGAATCCCATTCATGGATGTCTGCTGTTGGTACTGCTGCCAAGCTCATAAGCCCCAGGCATGGGGGGAACTAATTGGTAATAAGAGTTTTATATTGGGGGGGATAAGGCTTAATAATAATAATAATAATAATAATGAAATACAAAGGTCTATTTATTGGAGGGATGAATGATTCCAAATTAAACACTAGGGAGGGGGGTACACATCACCCCCAGCTCTCTATACTACACAGGCATCATTAAGGATGCAGTGATGAACAGTTATGGAAAAAATTACCCACAAATAATTTAATACAAACTGCTAAAACTTTATTAATAAAAGCCTGATTTATATTCACATTTTTTTCTTTTTTTTCAAGCTGAGATTTATGAAGGCAAACAGTCTAGTGGACACGAGTTTCTGCACATCCTCAGTTCAGACGTGTCCCTGCCACCCATGGCCACAGGAAGTCACCCCCTTGATGATGATGTCACATGAGTAGGCAGTTTGAGGTGCATAATGCCCTTTACACCCCCCCATTCAATTGCCCTTTTTTTTTTTTAGAAAATTTGCCATCACTATGACAAATCAGTATGACGGAATGACTCAACAGTCAGCTGACATCTCAGTCCAAGAATGAGCCCCCATTAAACCCCCTCCCCACCAAGAAGGTCAAGCCACCCCCGGCGCCGTCAGCATTTCGGCCACACGTGTGACGGCCAATCACCCGTGGTGGTGCTAAACCCCCCCTGAGGCGCCCTGCTTGTAGTGACAGTGGGGAGATAATCGATCCCCTGCGGTCTGTAAAGTCCCGGCACAGAGAGCGGTGCGGGGGGGGTGAAAGGTCCCGCCATCGGCCAGGCCTCGGGGCCGGGAAGTGGCCTGGTGTTGCTCCAGCGACGCCAGGCAAAGGGAGCTTTGTCTCAAAGTGACGCGTGAAAGACGGTGGCATAAAGGCCCCTTTCATGCGGTGTGGGGGGCACAGCTAAATCCCCAATTATTACAGCCGGTTTCTAATATTATATCTAATGTACGGTGGAAGTACATTAGAAAGAAAAATCCCATTTATACCAGCACCTCTGTCTGCCTCTCTCTGTCCTCCCCTCCGCCCACCCCCAATTCCGGCTCAAGAAGAGGCTGATTCTTTGTGTCCCTTGGGGGGGGTGGGTCTTGAGCGGAAGTGGAACCACAATGTGCCCTGATTAGCAGGAGTAATTACACTGCAACAAAGAGAAAAGGGACTTATAAAGAGACCCCCCCTCTCCCACTGAAATGGCAAGGGGGGAGCCCACTAGAGTTGTGATCAACGGGCCAGACCAGGCGGCCTGCACTCCGCGCATGTTTCAGTCTGTCAAAGTCATTTATCCCACCAGCTTCTCATCATGAAAGCTATTTTTCACTCCAGAACTCCCAACAGAAAAGGATCTTATTTCTTTAGAAATCAGGCCTGGCTAGCATGTTGATCAGGGCATTACCTTCAGTGGGTGCCTCTGCATGTGCACATCTGTCTGTGCGTGCATGTGTCTACGTGTGTGCACATCTGTCTGTGCGTGCATGTGTCTCCGTGTGTGCACATCTGTCTGCGTGTGTGCCACTGTATGTGCACATCTGTCTGTGCGAACATGTGTCTCCGTGTTTGCATCTGTCTGTGCGTGTGCCTTGGCGTGTACACACCTGTCTGCACATGTGTGCGCACATCTGTCTATGCATGCATGTGTGCACACCATTCTGTGCATGCATCTGTCTTTGTGTGCGCACATCTGTTTGCGCATGCATGTGCCTCCGTGTGTGCACATCCATGTGCATGTATATGCCTTCGCGTGTGCACATCTGTTTGCATGCATGCATGTGCCTCTGCATCTGTCTACAGATGTGTGTCTCTGAGTGCACACATCTGTCTGCAGGTACGTGTGCTTCTGCGTGTGCACATCTGTGTGTGCCTGTGCCTCTGCGTGTTCACAATTGTCTGCACGTGCATGTGCCTCACCGTGTGCACATCTGTCTGCACGTGCATGTGCCTCTGCGTGTGTGTGTGTGTTGGCTGTGGCCGGCACAAGTGTTAATTGGCTACCAAAAGAGAAACAGACATTTGGCACATAGTGAGAAACCCTAAACACCCCCCTCCCAAAAAAAAACTCTGTTGTTTAACAGATGTCGTATTTTTTTAATCTGGGGTCTGGCCTTCTTCAGACCTTCACCTCATCTGAACAGGAACAGCAACATGCTTCTGCTAATCCTAGAAAGTGGGAGTTGGGGCCCCGGCCTGATCTCAAACACGGGGCCCCTCACACGTCAGTCATGAGAAAAGGGCGTCTCCGCGTGTTTAGAGATGGAGTCCGTGTGTATTTACACGAAGACGGGGACCAGCACCGTCAGCATTGAGACGTAAAGTGGGTGTTGACCATAGACCATTGGGTCTGCATGGTACTCTATGTAGGTATTAATATAGTGTCATAAATGAAGGTGTGAATTCCGCCATGCGGTCAAGCTTTATTGGGCATGTGCGGCATGGGGACGTGGCGTGGCGTGGCGTGGCAGGGCGGGTTAGGTTGCTGGCCTGAATACCCGAGTCGGCAGAGTCATTCACCATCAGGCCCCTGAGCAAGACCCTAAGCTGCAACTGTTTCAGAGTCTGTCTGTCCTTGCTTTCTAAAAAAAAAAAAAAAAAAGTCTCTGGTAAATAAATAAAAATCAGAAATGCACTGCAGGAATTGGGGTGGGGGGGGGCTATGTGGTATCAGCTGTACCTCGACAGATAACCCTGGTGAAGATTCAGGCTTGGATGTAGGCCATGGAAACTTGGGCCCCATCCACCCTCTCAGACCCGCCAGCTCCAGTGTGGAAGAAGGTGATGGGGGCGTGGTCTGGGATGCTAACCTAAGCCCTGGGGGGG